ATGTATTAAACCATCATCACTTTGCATACTTTAAACTTCTCCACATATCAATAATTTCTCAGTAAAACTGGAAAATATATCTCAATAAAACAGACAGGATGACTTAAACAACAGAAATTTATTTCTCACAATTTTGAACATGAGGAGACCCAAGGGTAAAGGTGCGGGCTGATTCTATTTCTTGTGAAGACTCTTCCTGGTTTTTTGACAATCTGGTCTTCCTGAGTCTTCACACTTCTTTCCTTCTTGCACAAGTAGTGGGAGACAAAACTAAATCTCTGGCATCTCTTATAAGGATATTAATTAGGTCAAGACTCCACCCTTACGACCTCATTTAACCTTAATTACTTTCCTTAGATATCCCAACTCCAAATATAGTCACACCTACGGGTCTGGGCTTCAACATATGAATTTGGGGGGGGGGGGGATGCAGCTATTTTAATTAATGATACCACCTAATATATTAGTATCTTCATGGGTCTATTTTATTCTCCTTATCTCAACTCTGAAACAATCTCCATAAGGATAATGATTTTTGTTTCTTTCGTTTACTCTGGCCCATCCAGAACTTAGAATGTTACCTGACACATAAAAAATACTCAATAAACATACTGAATGAATGTCATAACTGAATAAACAAGGAAGGTTGAAAATGATGGAAGGCAAAAGAGGAGTAAACAGGAGAAAACTATAAAAGGAGGTTGCAGAGTTCTTAATAAAAAGAAGAGTATTCAGGTGATTTGTAAGATGTCAAAAAAGATAAAAGGTAAAGATGATATAATTAAAAGACATGAACTCAGAGAACAGACTTTGTGATGAGTTTTTCTCTCTTTTCTCTCTGTGCCTCCCTCCCTTCTTCCTCACCTCTCAGTTCTCTCTTCTCTTCCTTTCCTTTCTTCCTTCAGAAAAAAATGGAGCAATAAAGGTTTAGAAAGAGCAGTGGAGGTTAACAGACCACCACAGAGAATAAGAGCAAAAACAGTCATACATGAAAGAGATGACAGGAAATGACATCCTTTGGGTATATCCACATTTTAGTTCAGGTAAGGAGTTCTAGGAACACTGAAAAGGTAGAAATTGATGGTGATAAGAACACTTATAGAGAATGCGATGTATTCACTTTAATTTTCAGTGGAGTTCTTTGTTTTTTGTTTTTAAATACCTTAATAATCTTCCTCCACGATTACACAGGACCTACATGCAAATTTGACACATAGATCGACAGCAAAAATACACATATTATTTTGGGAAAAAATGGTAAATTTTCAGTTTTAGATAACAGAATTATTTGGGTTACATCTTTCCCATTCTCACTACAGGTGACACTCAAATTGTACACTTAATACATCTTAATTATTACCCTGTCAGAGAAATCATAAAAATTTTAAATATCTCAATTGATTTTTAAATTCTCTTTAGTATCCTAACAAGACAACTAAAAATCAGGTTATTTATAAATATGCTGATGCAGGCCAACTCTCAGGTCTTAAGACTTAGAGATGAGAAATGTGAGTATCTCTTTCATAAAATAGTTTACTTAGTGCCTAGAGAAATTCTATTCAAATACAAAGACTAGCTCATATATAGTACTTTGGATGATTTAATTTACTAATTGGTATTCACATCACTTTGGTAACCTTTGAGACATTTTTATTTCTGAGTTAAATCTCACCAATTAAAAGATACTTTGGAATGCTTATGCCTTATCTGGATATTGTCATTTTTCTTTTTCAAAATTTTTAAAACCAGTATCTCACTTGGGAGGCAATAAGTTAGAATGCAACCTAGCGGGGAAATCCTGCATTTGCTCAATGTCTATAGCTTTTACACAGTTCCAGATGTTCAATACATTAATAATGCACTAACTCAAAGCCTCTTTTTGAAACTTTAGAAAGTGCAAATTGCATTAAGACCTCTTTGCCCTCATTAATGTATTGTTACAATCTGAGTCCTCTGGAAAATGTTTTTTGGCATGTGTTTAACTTTATAATATTGCCATTTACTCACTTTAATAGCCAATACTCAAGTCTTAATGCTTTTAATAGGCCTGCCTAAATAGACTACCATCTTTTGTCATCTTACTCACATAATTCATTTCATAGGTAAAACGTACTGTATTTTTCCATCTGAAGATGATTCTTCACTATTTATTTCATGAGGTACTAATATTTAAGAAATGTTTAGTTTCTGTTTTTCAGTTGCTATGTACCTACTGTACCTACAGGTGGAATGTTAGGGATAAAATGTAGTCATTTTTACACAGTAGTAAAAGTGAAAAATAAAATTGCAGTATTTTATAATTTTAAAAATTACAGTAAAAACGGGTATATATTAAATTATTGATTGTTGTATTCAAATATAAAATAGGAAAAAATAAAAAATATTAATTTCTATTGAAACAACTTCTTGTACTCTAGCTATATGAGGATATCTGACTCAATACCTTAGTAGGGTGGTTATAGTTAGTTCAAATCAAATGTTCAACAAACATAAATGCAGTCAGCAAAAGAACTAGGAAAGAATAAAATGGAGAAAACCTGTCCTGAAGTGAAAGTAAGATCTCTTGGAGTTTTTGATTATCTACAAAGAAATGAAAGCTCCTACATTGCTCACCCAAATGGAGTTTTCCCTCTCACAGGATCATTAAAAGATTGAAAACATTAGAGGAATGCCACTGACACTGGCATATGTGTTTACAGAATTGGTTATTGGTACATCTGCTAGAAGTACACAATTATACTTACAATGTAAAAATTGACAAATAAAACAGAATTTGAAAAGTAAATCCATTAATTTTTTCCTGATAATCTACTTTGTTGATATCTTTTGAAAAGAAAGTGGTAAGAATGCAATTGTTATTTACATATGGAATATGCTCTTATCTCTTTAAAATATGAATTCTGAATTTGTTAGTTGGTTCATAACTGTCTAAATAACCATTTAGTTAATATGTATGTATTTGATCAGTCTTGTCATCCTTAAAGTGAAAATATATTGACTTAGTGAATCAGAATGAACACATTTATTCATACAAATTCATCTACAGGTTTTACTCCTTACTGAGTTGACTAACAGTAGGGAAGGAAAGAAACTAATTTTCTATCCTTCTGTTAAAAGACCAGTAATTAAAGTAAACCTCCAATAAACTCAGTGAACCTGCATTATTAAAATCAAAGTAGAATCTAGGCTTAGAGAAGAAAAGGAGTAAGAAGCAAACACTAAGTGTTTCCTAAGAGTTACTACTTCTGCTATTGTCAAACTAAATTTATGAACCTACTGCTATAAAACTTGAAGGTAAAATGCTCTGGAAAAATACTACTTCACAAAAGCGGACAGTTTTGAAAGAAAAATGCTTAAATATGATGGGGATAAGTACTACAAATAAAAATAATTTTTATTTACTTATACATTTGAGGAAATTTTAAATGCATATTGTGTTCAAAGGACTGTGCTAAACCCTGCTTTAGATTCATAAATGAACAACTTATTCCTTCAAGAAGATTTCAGTTTAGTAGTGGTATAAAGAAACATACAATTCCCTATGGTAGCTGATAACATTCATAATTATTAGGGAAATAAAAAGTGATCTGGGGGTAAGAGTAGGGAGATACCATTTTGATCAAATAAAACAGGGAAACCTCCTAAAGGATTTATCTATAATATAGCTCCAAAGGTAATAAGGAAGTGAGGAGTAGAACATTTAGACTGAAGGTACAGCATTAGCAATTTCACTAGAAACATTTTTTATAATCACTGAGTTAGCTTGCATGAAGAAATTAATGGTAAGATTGGATAGAAAGTTACAGATTTTCATAATCCATAGGACATAAGTCTGGTGATCGAATCACCTATTTCAGCAGAAAATGGATTTCCTCTATGTATCTGTGATTTACTCAAAATTTTACCCTTTAACTGAAAGAAATGAATTCTGTTTGTTATGAACAGAGGTATTTGTATAAAGATAAAAGTGAGAAAATTGTCCTTCCAGATTTTCCCTTTACATTTCTTTCAGTCTTTTCAAATTACTAGACATTGTAATAGTTTTGTGAAGAATACCATATTCCCACTAAGATAAATTTGATTTTGATTCTACTGTCATTAAACTAGTAGCACCACTGTTTTTGAAACCGAGAGATCATTTTTATGGATAAAAGGCTTTCTAAACTCTTGTTATGGATAAAAATGTTTCTATTAAATCATTTTGAATGAGACTCAGTGGTGCCAAAGCTGCAACTTAGATCTTTTATTTGTATACTGCAGACTCTGATTTTCTTTTACATCTTTATGAGTAAAATGCATAAGCTATTTTCCTTGAGGGAACATTTTCTACTTACCACTGATTGTCAGAGAAAGAATAAAATGTAAATGTTCAATCTCTAGTTGTAATTTTAATTATCACTTCTAGCTATAATTTTTATATGTATTATTTAATATGAAGTTTATATGTTGAGAATTTTGCTTGTGTTGCTACTAGTTTGATGTTTCTCACTTTTAAACTGCAGTGAACCTGAGAAGAAACCATATTGTTCCACTTAAAATATTTACCTTCTTTCTTATTGATATTTGAAACATCCGCAGATTATAGGTTTACCTTATTTTAAGTGATGTATCAAGGATTTGTACAGGACATATTCCCCACAACGTTAAACAGAAGTGACTTTAGAGTCAGACTATTAAAACATCCAAAAGTGTAATACATGAAAGTGGAAAAAAATGCTCCTTTTTCTCGTACTATGAAAATATCAAGCTGCCCTAAGAATAAAAGTAATAGATATATAATTGCCCTTTTATAAAACTAACACTGCTTGATGACTTTTAGTTTTTCAGCATTCCAAGTAAAACAGTGATAAAACAATCATACAGTATCTCACTAAGTAAGTAAAATAATACATTATATTTAAAAAACTGTAATTCTCCTGTTGCTCCTGACCCTAGGAAGTTTATCATGATAATCCCACATGCTTCTTTAAAGCCAAAAGAAATAATAAATATTCCCTTACCTTGTAAGATGGCAAGAAACACAAAATTCCTTGGCTCACAGTCTGGCACACAGATAATAAAAGTGCTCCCACTTCATCCTGGAACTCAAATGTTTCTGTGTGCTGAAAGGTAGCACAGAGATTCCGCCCCTTGGGGCCTGACCCAATGGTGCCAACCCAAACCTAGAATATAAATATGTCAGTATGAGAGTTATACCTAAGCCAAATAGACAAATTAGCATTTAGTTGGAAACCTTAATTACTTATATGTCAAAAGAATATTAAGCAACAACTTTAGAGAAAATTGATTTTTAAATGATAGGGATTTCTTTTTATTGCTTTTAACTACAGATAGAATTGACTTCTAAGTTTTACTTTAGTCAGAACACTGAATTCTGGTAGGTTGAAAGTTTCTTGAAAGCAAATAGGATTTTACCTCTCTATCTCCTCAACAGCTTTGCACACCTAAGTGTGTAATAAAATTGCGTTAGATGATATAAATAAATGAAGACTAAATCAGAAATTACTTAAAATGAGGTTGCTATGATGCTATGATCTGATGCAGACAGGTAAGTCTCTAAGACTCAAATACGACAGAACTAATCTTTCACGAAGTCATGAGTACTCAATGACTGACAGTCACAGAAAATTAGCTTTACAGTTATCTGCAATTCTGCTACACTTGTTTAGCAGAGTAGTACATCTGACTCAAAAAAGAACAAAATTGGCCCTCCCTGGTGGCGCAGCGGGTTAAAGCACAGCACTGAGAATCTAAAGCCACTTCTGCATGAGTTCAATTCCAGCCTGCCCCGGAGGTGACCACATGGTGTGGCAGACCTCTCCTGACCCGCCCGCTGCTCCCCTCAGCAGTGTACTTCGTCGATCTGCCTGTTCTGTTCCCCACTCTGTCTCTGGTGAAGCCTCTCACCGCCCCTGAGCCTCTGGCCTGTACCCCAGTTCTGTATGCACAAATAAATAAAATCTTAAAAAAAAAAAAAAAAGAACAAAATTTAGTAGTGTGAAGACAATACAAACACTTCAGATTATTGAAAAATGAGATTAATGTATATTCTGCGAGCTGATGCCTGACCAACACCATTTTAACCAATTTTTAAAAGATTAACTAATAGATATTATGTTTCTTGATAAGGTGCAATGTGAAATAACATCACCTATTAATATTTTTACCAAACTGTTTAACTGTTTAACATTTTTTAAAAAGATTTATTTTTATTTACTTATGCATACAAGAACTGGGGTGTAGGAATGAGAGGATTCACCTGAGTCAGAGTGGGGAGTAGAACAGGAAGATCTACTGAAATACACTGCTAAGGGGAGCTGCAGGTCATACAGGAGAGATCTGCTGTGCCATGTGGGTTGGCTCCCTGGGTGGGGATCAAACTCATGCTGGAGTGGCTGGCAATAGCTTGGTAGGACTGAGACTTTAACACCTGCACCACAAGGAAGGCACCTGTTTAGCTTGAATCTTATTACAAGGAAGCAATCAGACAAATCCAGGTTATAAGTCATTCCTTAAGAAAACCAGTAAATTCAAATTCTTAAAAAAATGTCAAGACGGGGGAAAAAATGGCAAGAGAACTGTTTTGAAGACTAAAGGGATATAAAAAGCCAAATGTAACAGGGTCTCCCTGGTATTGCAATGGGTGGAAGCACAGCACTGTGAAGCAATTTACAGCCACTGCAGCACGAGTTAGATCCCTGGCCAGGGAGGTGACCCACATGGCACAGCAGACCTCACCTCTTCCCCCTCCCACCCCACACCTGGCCTATTGCCCAGTTCTTGTATACACCAGTAAATAAATCTTAAAACAAAACAAAAACAAATGTAACATATACCATATGGTTGGAATATGGATCAAGAATAAGAAAAACAAACAGGTATAAAAGATATCTGGGGACTAAATTGGCACATAAAAATATTGACTATTGTATCACTACTAGATTTTTTGGGTATGACCATAATATTGTGCTTATGTAGAATTATGTGTTTGTTCTTAATAGAGATACAGTAAACTAAATAAAAAGTGTCACATTGTTCACAAATCACTTTCTAATAATTTATCCCCCAAATCACATATATACATATGTAAGATAATTAACATTTTGCTAAATTTTTCTTTTTTCACTTTCTTTCCTATAATATAAACATATATACACACAAAATGTTATCTGATAAATCTAGGTGAACAGCATAAAGCTGTTGACTATATTAACACTTTCTTTATACTTTTCTGAAATTCATAATTTTTTAAAAATAGTCAGGGAAAATTAACAAATGAAGGATAAAAATATATACAATGAAATACTATTCAGCTATAAAAAGGAAATTCTGACTCATGTTATGAATTGATGAACCATTAAGACATCATGCTAAATAGAATAAGCACCAAAAAAATTACCTTAAGATTACACTTATCTGAGATAGTTAAAGCAATCAAATACATGAAAATAGGAAGCAGACTGATGATTAAAAGGTTGGCAAGAAGATGAAATGGAACTATTGTCTAACAGGAATAGAATTTCAGTTTTGAAATAACAAGAATGTGAACATAGGACCTCCCTGGTGGCCGAGGGATTAAGTGCAACACTAGCACTCTGTCAGCCTGAGTCAATTCCCAGCCAGGGAGGTGATCCACATATGGCACAGCAGAACTCTCCTGTCTCGCCTGCTGCTTGCTTCAGTAGTATGCTTCAGTAAACCCACCTGTTCTGCTTCCCACCCTGTCTCTGGTGAATCCTCTCATCCCCCGCATATCTAGCCTATACCCCAGTTTTTGTATGCATTAAAAAAAAATCTTAAAAAAGAAAAAGGAATGTGAATATACTCAACAAAATGGAACTATACACTTAAAATAACTTAAAAAATGTAATAGAACAACTAGCATTACTATTATAATTCAGTTACATTACAGGTTAATGAGTTTCTGTACACTAGACTGAGAACAGTCTATATTAACATCCTTGTAAGAAATACTTGCTGATTTATCAATAACTTCCAATATTTACTTTAGTTGCTAAAGAAAGCAACTTGAAAATACTGAACTTATTTTTCCTTCACTATTTTTTCTGTGTTATCTTTAAATTAATGAAGTACCACTGTTTTACATCAGTTAATATTTTTTTCCTCCACTGCTGTTCATGAAAATGTTTCTTAGTAGGAACACCCTGGCATTTTGAAAAGCACAATTCTTTGTTATATAGTTTGGCATTCTAAGCCCCACTTACTAAATGGCAGTTGTTCCTGCAAACTAATTGTGACAACCAAAACTGTCTCCACTGGAGGAACAAGAACAAAGAAAGGGAGCACAATATAAAGGTCTATGTTGGTAAACTATGGGTTCCTTGGTGGTGGGGGCAATACAGCCAAGAGAAATCTGACACTTCTATTATGGAAATAACAATTTAAGCCAGGATTAATGCAATAAAAAATATTTTAAAAAGTCCCCACATACACACCCTGGTTGAAAATGATAGTTTTATAAAGAATGAGAACTGTGTTAGACATAGAGTTGTAGGTACCACTTTAAATTACTTCAAAAAAGAAGTATGGCAGACTGATAAAAGCCTAGTCAAATACTCCTAGGAAAATTAAAGCAACTTTTATATGGTATTGCTATAAAAATTAACATCTTAAGTCATGGAACTCATAAATGTACTTTTATTTCATTTCTGATATTTAAATACATATTGGACACTTCATAATTAATGCCAGGTATTAATTCAGATGCAATGGTAGAATGGGAACCTAAAAAGAAGAATAAAGATGTACAATAATCTAATGAAAAAGAGAAACATAAAAAACAAGTAATTATGCAATCAAGATTATGGTAAATATGTCCAATTTTTGTTCTGCTTTTCATTAAAAAATTGAGGCCTATTTACAATGAGGGAATTGCACAGTCTTTGTATCCAAAATTATATTTTCACACACTGGGTTGAATATATACTATCATATGTATTCCCTTTTATTGCCACTATCAAGTTATTGACAGATTTTCTTTTACTCTAAAGCGAAATATTGTATTTCCTATTATAATCTGTTTGCTGGTACCTCAGGTACCAAGGAAACTTCTAACTTGATCATATAGAATTACATTGAGGTAGAAAGATTGAAAGCTTTCAAAAAAAAGGGACACTAACCTGTGAAGTATCAATAACATGATTAGCCTCTAGTTGGATAGTAAATGTAACTCCAAGTTCTGAGGAAAAGGATTTCATTGGTGATAATGTGCCAGATGTTAAAACAATAGTTCGAACTTTGCCATTAATATCTGAAAAAGCCTAAAAAGGAACATTAGATGCATAAAATCATCTTTCAAAGAGTCAAAAACATTTATTTAATCATTGGTGTTAAGCAAAAAGACACAATTTTCATTAACAATATAATACACTTACCACAGCTGGATTTAAGCACCAGAAGTTTAGCACATGAACTGCAGTTTTCTGTCGTAAACGTTTTTTAGATTTTGGTAGAGCCAACAATCCATTTTTATCTGAGACGTCAGTCTGATTTATCCAAGAGTAAGTCTGTTGAATAGCAATTTTATAATCATCTGCAAATCTAGATGAAAATAAAATGCCAATTAAATAACCATACTTTGTAAAACATGCCCATACAATATAAAAGTAATTTTATTAAAATTAAATTTAGAATATTGATATCTTTCCATGCAAAGATAACATTCTCCCCACCAACCCACATTACTAATTAAATTCAGAAATCCTGATAAAAAATATTTAATTATGCAATCAACCCACTCTTAAAAGAATGTTAGAGATCATATTATCATCCACCCTTTACTACCCACTTTCCATCCTTATGTTCAAACAGTACATAAATCACAGCAGAGCTAAAATTAAATGCAGGTCCCCTAATATCTAGCCCAGAGTTCTTGTTACATCATTAGGTATAAAGCAGACAATAATTTTGCTGCTAATGAAACTAAAAAGTAGAGTATATGTTTTCACTAAATGAAAAAGTAGAGAGGAGTCTCTAAGACATTGTGCCCACTTAATTGTGAAGAAGATATTTTGTTGGTGACATTGAAGAAGACACAGAAGAATGTCATCTAAGAGATTATTTTGAGCAGCAGAAAGCTGAAGTGACTGAAATCATGACCAATAGAGGTAGTGACAAGAAAAAAGGCTTTATAACCTTTGATGGCCATGATCTGTACACAAGATTGTCACCGAGAAATGCCATACTTTGAATGGCCACAACTGTGAAGTAAGGAAAGTCCTATCTAAGCAAGAAATAGCCAGTGCTTCATTGAGCCAAAGAGGTCAAAGTGGTTCTGGAAACTGGTAGTAGTTTTGGAGGTCATTTTGCTGAGAATGACAACTTTGGTCATGGAGGAAACTTCAGTGGTAAAGGTGTCTTTGGTGGTAATAGGGATGGCTATAATGGATTTGGTAATGATAGAAGAAATTTTGGGTGTAGTGGAAGCTACAATGATATACTGCTGAGGGGAGCAGTGGATGAAACAGGAGAGATCTGCTGCTATGTGGGTTAGCTTCTGGCCAGGCAGTGCCTAGCAATAGCTGTTGGTCCTTGGACTTTAACCCCTGCACCAACCAGGGAGGCTCCCCAATTTTTCACATTTTACTGAACAGAGATTTACACAGTAATAAAGAAAACTTTTTGACACTGTAAGAAAAATCTGACTATATTTAAAAATTTAAATGCTTAAATTTAGTGCTAGACTATAAATGTAATGCAGAATTAATTAAATGTATTTATTAACTAATTCTAATACTCAATTCCATGAATATTGATTAAGCTCAGTTTATCGGAGTCTATGCCAATGAAATCAATATTTACACCAATTGTTTATAATTCTGTTCACCCCAACAATGTGCTAGCACCCAAACTGGTTAATATTCTAAAAAGGAGAAATACAGATTGGATCAGACCTTCACCTACCTGCTATTTTGCCTAAAAAGGTAGTCAAGCACCATAAAAAGTCCTTTAAGCATTATTTGAGTAGAAGCACTAATAATAGGTACTTCTCTTGACTCTCCTCTACCATGTATTGGTAAGACTTTTTCTTCTTTTTGAAGAACAGCAGCTAAATGTCCCTACAAAATATTTTAAATGAAAAATAAGTGGTTACCTGATGTTTGGCAGGGGAAATAAGTTGTGGTGAGGGATGAATAAGCACAGTACATAAGATTTTTAAAGCAATGAAGTATTCTGTTGGATACTACAATAGTAGAGGTGGTTTTATGTTCTCATCAACACTGAACTGTGTAACACAGAAAGAACTCTAGTGTAAAATATGTACTTTTGTTAACAATAAGGTGACAATGCTGGTTTTTCAATGATAACAGTGTACTACACACTGCACTGCACTGTACTACACTGCAAGATGCTAAGAGGAGAAATTGTAGAGTCTGAATGTATGTATATATGCTTTTGTACATTACTAGGGATATATATGAATTCTGTCTTTTCTGTTCAATTTTTCCATAAACCTAAAACAAAAATAAATTTAATAATTTAAATAAATAGAAATTAAGAATAAAAGAAAAATACTCCCAGCTGTAAAAGATAACCAACTCTGAAAATATGAAGATCATGAAACCTCTATCCAGAAAAATGTATAAAGTACATACTCATAAAATTTTGCATACAATTTCATAGCCTAGTGGTATCCCGTAATCCACTCATTATTTCTAAACATCCAGGTTTATAGATGTAAGTTAAGAAATAGAATTTTTTATCCTTCTATTTTCTAAATTTTTAATTTCTATAATTGAAAAATTAAATTTATTGCACAAAAATATTAACAATCTTTGAACAAAGCAGTCAATTCCTTTAAATCTCATGTCCTTTGAACTAAAAATGCTAATTTTTACCCAAAATATAGCTAACGTAAAATTTTAGAATTAAATTAGTATAATATTTTACTCTGAATTAACTTATTCACAACTATATCTTTCACTAAATGAATTTCACAGGTGAAAAAGAATCTTACCTGCAAAATGGGAAAAGTAGCAGTGGTGATGCCCATTTCATGTAAATTTGTGAGCATTTCACTTCCACTCCATATTTTACAGGATGATTCATAACCTCTTTCTACAAGATGTTTAGAATTTGCTTCCAGCCAACTGGAATAAATTAAAACAATTCCATCAATCAGAACATCCTTATGAACACTATTTCACAGAACAAAGATGGTTGAGACACACTGATCTGTATTCCTTAAAACTCTTAAGAATATGGATTAAGATGTCTTTTATAAGGCATCCATGTGTCATATTGCAAAATAAACATTATAGGCCAAAGTAAGTTTTTAATTCAGAAAAGAAAAAGATATATGTGATATCATAATTATGTCTTATGGATTCACACTACTTTATATGATGAATGTCATTTCAACTAAGCACCTGGTCTACAGGTTTGTCCTAAATGCACCAAATAGGCAATATAAGAGAACCTAAAAAGAAATTAAAGTGTTAAATATTAACACAATGATTACTAAAAATATAGAAGTATATTCATTAAGACACATAACTGAACAATAAATAAGTGCTTAAATGCCTATATTTTGCAAGTTATTATACTAAAGTGAAAATATAGCAGTAGTAAAGTAGACAAGGTTCTTATTCTCATGAAATTACATCCACTAAAGATATAAACTTAAAAACAAACACAGGAACAAGAAAATACCAGACAGTGATAACTATCACAAAGTAAATAAGTTAGATTACTGTTATATAATTGTGACTTTAATTTGAATGTTAAGGAAATTCTCCCTGAGGTGACATTTATTCTAACAAAAGATCAAAAAGTGTCCAATTTTAAAAGAATCAAGAAAAAAAGTATTTCAACAGAAGGAAAAATTAGTGCAAAAATCCTGAGGTGATTAACAAACTTTTCTTGTTTAAGAAACTGAACATAACTAATATGATTATAAGCAATGAGCAAAAAGAAAAATTATATGAATATGAGAGTAACAAAGAGGAATCATACAGAGAAACTCAGATTCTATTCAAAGTACAATGGGGAGGTTTTCAGTGGAGGCTTTTAAATAAATAAGAGAGACTCTCTTTTAAGTGTTTAAAAGATGATTCTAGGTTCTAAGCTAAAATGAATTATTGGAAAATGGCAAATATGAAAGCAGACACTGTTAGGAAGTTGTTAAAGTATTCTAGCTGAGAAATGACTCACGGATGATAGACGAGAATGAAGGATTTGGAATATGTTGTGCAGATGGCATTTATAAACTGGATACAATAAAGCAGTGGTCAAGGGAAATACTTTGATTTTTGATTTATGGAACTGGTTGGTACTATTACCTTAGGTAGGGAAGACAGGGAGGGGGGATAGGGAAGGGAAAGAGTTTTGTTTTGAAAGCTGAATGGTAACTCAAAGATATAAAGCATAGTTTGATGTAATAAAAGTTTATAACAACCTCAATATTGATTAATCAGAGGCTGGTTAGATAAATTATTGTACATCCATCCAATGAAATTCTAAACAAATATAGTTTAAAATTTAAACAGCTTTCTAGGTATTGCTATAGGAAGATTTCTACTATTAAGTGTCAAACACAAAAGACAGGAAACAGTTATGTAAAGTAGACTTTTTGCAGTTAAATAATACTGCACTGCATACTTTAAAAATTGCTAAGAGGGTAGATATTACAAGCATTCTCATCAGAAGAAAAATAATCATAAACAGCAGAAGGAAACTTCCAGAGGTGACAGATATGTTTATGATATAAATTATAGTGATGATTTTAGTTATATATTTTTAGTTACTCACATACACAAACATTCACTGAATGATACTTGTTCAGGAGGACAAGAACTAAGTTGATGGAGGATGGAGATGGGGACAGGAATGCAGTTTTTACAATATAAATTTGTATAATTTTTATAAAATTTCAAACCATGTAACTATTTAAAATGTTTCTAAAGTATAGCATGAAGAGAATAAAGTTAGGTTTCTTTTTTCCTAAAAGAAGAAAAAGAAAGATCTTAGATCTAGTGGAAGAAAAATTATCTAAAGTAGACTTTAGAGTATCAGGTTAATTGAAACTTGTATCCGAAAAAAAAAATTTTTTTCACTCATAGCAGCTCATAGCAGGAGTATAAAGGGCCAGGGGAGAAAATAATAATAATAATAATGAACAACTGTATACCAAAGACATTTTATAGGGGTGGAGTGGGGAATGGGATCAAAAATGGGTTGGGGGGGGAGAGAGGAAGTGCACTGGACTATGGGGATGGCACACAGGTGAACTGGTGGTGGGAAGCCCATGTGGATTACAACTGAGATGAAAAAAGGTACAAAATTATGTGAAAAAAAAAACCTATTAAAAAGAAAGAAACTTGTATCAGAATCCTATTTAAACTGGAGGATAGGCAATCAAGCAAATACAGAATTTTTTTATTTATGACAATGGTCTGTCCAAAGTCCTATATACATTCTATGGGGCTATTAAAGTCATCATGATAAATTAGAAATAGGATTCATAAGTATCAATTTTAGAAAGCAATTATGTTCACTATTTTAAACAAGACAAAAGAATAACCTATTTGCAAGTAGCCAGGTAAAAGCTTATCAACTTTTAAATAATATTCTGGTTGAAAAACAAAACACACTTTTCCAAGGAAAAGTGTGCCAAGAAGCACACACAAAAAAAGTTCACCAACACTTATTATTAGAGAAATGCAAATCAAAGCCAGAATATACCAACTCATATCTCAGAGAATGGCCCAATACCAAAGATACCAGAAATAAGTTTTGGTGAGGATATGAAGAAAAAGAAACCCTCCTACACTGTTGATGGAAATATAGTTCAGCCTCTGTGGAAAGCAGTACAGAGGTTTCTCTGAATGTTAAAAATAGACGTACCATACTATCCAGCAATTTTATTCCTAGGTATGTATCCAAAGAACGCAAAAACATTAATTTGAAGGGATACATGCACTCCTATATACACTGCAACACTATTTCCAATAACCAAGTTATGGAAACGACCTCAGTGCTAAACGACAGATTAAGTGAATAAGGATGTAGTATATATACACAGTGGAATACTACTCAGCTATAATAAAGGATGAAATCTTGCCATTACAAAACTACGGATGAAGTAGAGAGGATTATGCCAAGTAAAATAAGTCAGGAGAGGAGACAAAACTGGATGATTTCATTCATCTATAGAATGTAAAGAAATAAAGGAAGAGAAAACTTGAAATTGGACTGCAAAACTGGAGCTACTCACAGGAGGATGGGGAACAAAGAAGAGAGTGGGTCCAGTGAACTAGGGTAGAGGATTATTGGTGTTATGCTGGTGGGTGTGGTGTGATAACATACATTTCACGAGGTGTGAGCCTATAAACCTAGAATATATACAGTGTTGTAAACCAAAGTTACCTCAATAAAAATAATTTAACTGAAATAAAATACTGACATAATAAAACTTGTTTTTAATAGAAAGGCAACACAAATGACACTGACAGACAAATGTTCTTACTTAATTAGGCTATAGCACACAGCCCGTAGGGGTTCATGGTCTTTCTTCCTTATATTATTGCTGACCATAATATCTAGCTCATCTCGAGCAAACCAAAGCTGAACTGCTGTTATACTGTAACTTGCTGATTCCCGAGCACAATCTTCAATGTTATGAGCTTCATCTAAAATGACTACCTCTTCTTTCAGATTGATATCCATCTATGAGATAAAAGAATTTTCCTGTAAAATGAGCAGCAAAATGAATTCAAAAGCTGTCAACAAGATACTTCATTTTAAAACTCACACTGTAGGCTCATATCATAAGTGCAATTAAATAAGCAACTGATTATACATGTTACATAAAACTTTTGAAGCACTAAGGCCAACCAAATATCAGCTCAACATTACTCTCAAAATACTTAGCATATTTATCAACTAAAGTAATACTTGTTAAGCAAGCCTGGATCAAGGAATGGCAGGCTATACAAAGGGGTATTAAAATACCAGCATGAAGATAATTTTAAAGACTAAAAAAAAAAAAACTTTAAAACCAAAATAACAAGAGATTTAAAAGACCCTCAAAATACTAACATAATACAGTATGCATCTGTTTCAATTCTCAACCCTTCATTTTGAAAATTGTTCTTCCCTTACTCTCACTGATGCTGTTATCGAGGGCTGTCCTCCCTCCCACAAGGCTAGGCTCAGAATCAAGGCTTGCTATGTTAAACTATTCCATCTCTCTGTGGTCACTGTGCCTGGTTCAGGAATGGATATGTGATCCCAGCTTGCTCAAACAGAGTAATTTGGGAAAACTAGTATGAAATCATGTTCTTTTTGCCATGTTGGTTATGATTATCTTTATTCTCACAAGAAAAGTCTTGCCTACAACAATGAAACTATTGCAATGAAAGTCAGTTAAGTTTTTTCTCTTAGGCTCTTTTGAGGTGGAGCTTAAGAAACTAGTGGTTTGTGTCAACTTCAATTGAGAGGTTTAATACAAAATGTTACAAAGAAATTGCTAATGAATCATTCTGAGGAAGTAATAATATTCTGAGGGCTGACGATGGCTGAGAAGAAAAATAGGAAACTCATTGGCATTTGAATAGCAGGATTGGACAAACAGAGAAAATAGGATACTTTCAACAAAAGTATCAACAAAAGCAGAGATACAAGAAAGAACGAGGTATCTTTGTGGGACAATAATATAATGTTTGAAGGGTTTACATTTGGGAGTGTGTAACAGGGAAGACTGAAAAGGCCAATTTAGACAGACTAGTGAGTTTCTTGAATGTAAGATTAAACCTGAACAAAGAGCATGAGAGACTTTTAAGCAAAGAAGAGATATAATAAAAGTAATATTGAGAATAAAGGCACAGCATTGATACATCAATTCATTCAGAGGGAGGAAACCGACTTAAGAGGAAACCAAATAACGTAGTAAACATAATGTTTATTAAATTTGAACTTAAAAAAAAGTTAAGTTGTGCAGTCAGTTCAAAAGAGAAGAACAACCACTGAATATACCACTTTACTCACTTTTTGTCCTATACTGTAACAACTTCAAGTCTCTAAGAACCCAGAAATACACACTAATGCTGTTCACTTTTCAAATACTCACAAAGCATAATTTGCATAGACTGTATATTCCCCCAACTAAGTTCTCCAAATGTTTTTAAATAGTTTTTAAATAAGTCTTCAGATGTTTTTAAATAGTTATTCATGAATGGAAATGGTTATAGATATAAATGGATCTCTATTGAGGGTAATTTTGTCTCCCAAGGAACATTTGGTAATGTTCATATACATTTTCAATTATTAAAAACTATAAGGATACTAGTGGCATCTAGTGGACAAAACCAAGCTGCTATATACTCTATAGTGCACAGACAACCCACTACAACAAAGATCATCTTGTTCTAAATGCCATTACAATAAAGACTGAGAAACTCTACTGCATGGGCCTCCCTGGTGGCACAGGGGTTAAGTTCAGCCCTATCAAGCTATCTGCAGCCACTAAAACACAAGTTCCATCCCTAGCCAGGGTGCTGACCCAGAAGGCACAGCAGACCTCTCCTGACTTAACTGCTGCTCCCCTCAGCAGTGTATTTCAGTAGGTCCACATGTTCCTCTCCCTACTCTGTCTCTGGTGAATCTTCTCACCCCCTACATCTCTGGCCTACACCCCAGTTCTTGTATGCATAAGTAAAGTAAATCTTTAAAAAAAAAACAAACTATAATCCCATTTCAATACTAGAGTCTTAAAAGTACTTGTTACTTTAGATATTTAAACAAGGTTGAAATTCAGTTTTTAATATGACTTAGAATGTTTTTATAGATTTACATACATTAAACATAAAACCAAAAAAAGGACTTAAATCACATAAAAACTTGTACAGTCATCATGCATATTCCAATTTGTAGGAAAAAGTTGTTTTTATTGTTACATATCTACTCACACTTTCCCTTATTTGTGCATCTAGAAGATAGTTGTAGGGACAAAATATTATGTCAGCATCTTTTATTAGTTCTCGTGCTGTGTAATATGGACATGCTTTTAGTTTTTTCCCCAAGCTGATGAGTTCTTCTATATCCCAAGCCTTGTTCATCCCTTGGAGAGACTGTAATATGTTCTGATCATTCATTTTATGAACACCATGATAAAAATAGCAGAATTTTCCCTAAAAACAAATAGGCATAATTGTAATATGAGTCAATACTGGAACGGAAGGAATAAAACAAATTATCTCAGAATGTTAGGAACATTTTAATTCTGACAGAAGGCAAAGGTTTTACAGAGACAGATTATACTACATTTACAATCACAACCATTTTAAAAATAAGTTACATTAGCTGACTCAGATTAGCAGAGCTCCATATATATCAAACTAACTTGAGAAAAAAATTTAATTATGTTTTTCTGGCTTTGTTCTGATAAAAATGATAAAAGGCAAAAATATTTCCAGAAGATACATAAGAGCAATAATATCACTGGTGACTTTAAAGATGAAAAGTAAATGAGTGAGGAACAAGGAAGGGAGAGATCTTTCTCTAGACACTTTTGTTCCTTTTTAATTTGAGCCATGGGACATTATATTACTTAATCAAATATAAATAACTATGAAGAAAGGAAGGAAAAGAAGACTAAAGGGAGGAAATAAGAAGAGAGGGAGGGAATGTCCTAGGAGAAAAAAAAAGAATAGTCATTACAAAATATTTGGAAAAAAACCCAAAATGCCTGACATATTTTTAATTTAATCAAAGAGTACTGTTAGCATTTTTATGTATTTCATAGGTCTCCTATAGATCTGTATATGAATGTATCTCCTTAATATGATCAAATATTAAAAGTGAGAACAAAAAAATTTGCAAAAGCAAATTTTTGCCAGGCTTTGAGGATTATTAACAATCTAGTCACATAAATAGATACATCTTTTTTAAAAAAAAAAACACAATCTAGTAACAAATGACACTTTTTACAAAACTGGGGTTCACTTTTTTTCTCTCAGCCTATTATATTAAAAATCCGGGCCCTCCCTGGTGGCACAGCAGGTTAAAGCACAGCACTAAGAAGCTAAAGTCACTTCAGCATGAGTTCCATCCCTGACTGCAACAGAGGTGACCACATGGCGTGGCAGACCTCTCCTGACCCGCCCACTGCTCCCCTCAGCAGTGTATGTTGACCTGCCTGTTCTGTTCCCCACTCTGTCTCTGGTGAATCCTCTCACCCTCTGCATTTCTGGCTTGTACCCCAGTTCTGTATGAATAAATAAATAAATCTTAAAAAAAAATCCTATCAGAAATATTTTCTCACATTAAATGTTTCCATTGTGGGTGAACCAGTTTCATGATTAAAATTAGGCATTTAGACTATTGCCATTTTTTACTTTATAAATAAATATTACAATTTTTACCCACTTCCAAATATTTTACTAAAAACTGCTAAAAAATTTTTATTTAATTAGCATTGCATTATAACACGGCATAGGCTTCAGTTATGTCTTATTATAAATCAACATATATATATACATATATATATGTATATACATATAACTTTATATTCATTTTTATAAATGACATTATGGGATAAAAGTATAAACTATTTTTTAGTTTCTTGAAAACCATACCACCAACTTATGCTCCAGAAAGTATATATTATTTTATGGGCCTCCCTGGTGGTGTAAGGGGTTAAGTTTCAGTACTATGAAGCTACAGAGTATAGCATTTGTCATTTGGGACTAAGTAGTAGAATAATGTGCCTGTTTTGTCTTCATTAATTCTATGCATTGATAAAAAATTAATTTGCTTTTAGAATCCAAATATTTATCTTTTCCAGTTTGCTGTGAGACTATTAAAAAGTGAGACTATCATATATTAATAAATATATTTTCTATGAACGATCTAAAGAAGAAACTATGCTGCCAAAGATACCTATATCAATTACTAACACAAAATTACCCTAAAAATGCTGGCAATGGAATTAAGTTCATAACCTATAAAAGAATGTCAGCAAGTCCAAGGACAAGACATAATCAGCTAAGGACTAGTTCTAAAACTTTGTATTCGGCCATGCTAAGAGAAACCACTTGTTCGTCCCACAAGATAGTGAAAGAAAAAAAAAGATGGAGGAAAGGTCACATCTAGTGTTGTCTAGCTCATTTTCTATGTCATTTTTACTTCTTTTGTCTAGTCTCTACTACTCTTCCTTACAACTTTCCTATACCATCATGCTATCCTTGTTTTTGTTTATATTATCAAAATGGCATTTAAAAGAATGTATTTAATTTAAAAATGAGGAGGAATTAAAAAAAAAACTTGGGCTCTGGTTCTACTTTTCTTGTTAATTAATCTTCTGATATTGGGTAAATTCCAGGGTCCATTTCTTATGTGAGTAGGCGACAAAAGAGTGGCTGAACCAGAAATCTTTTGAGATCCTCTGACTACCTTACCTAAGAGATCCCCACTGACTACCTTACCTAAGGTTCCCTCCAGTTCTAAAATTCCATGATTCTGGGGTCTAGAAAACAGGTAGAAATGTGCCAAGAACCTTTCACATGATACAGATTGAGTCTTACAATATGACATTCAATATATCTTCATTCCAAGTATCTTCCATCTATTCTAAAAGCTTGTATTTGTGTGAAATGAACATTAAGGTACCTTAAAGAGTCTATGATGACGAACTATTAAATCTCATGTTAGCAAAAACAGATATATTTCCACATCCAACTTATTAGAATTACTTCTACAACTAATTAAGATTAATTTTTCTTAATTGAAACAAAAATTAACTTTTAAAAAATAACCAATATTTTTCCAGTATAGGAGCACTTTAGTAAAAGAAAGAATGAACAAAAACACATGTGTCTTGGATCAAGCCAAAAAATCAGAAAGTTTACACTTTAAGGGCACTTCAAATGACACTCCAGTGTGGGCTGATAGCAAAACCAGAAAAGCGCATCCATTTTAGCAGTGTAATTCAACCCTGCAGGGAGTCTGTCAATTGAAGTGTTATCACACTAAACTCTTTTTCACTCAAACTGCCAGTTATCTATTTATCATTTCTCTGTGGTAATTCAGCCACAGTAAACACAGACACCTATGGTGACTTTGTAATTGGCCCTCATTACAATACCAAATTACCCTGAGGGAGTGAGAACAAAAAAAAAAAAAAGAAAGAAAAAGAATGTTGACATATGTCTGTGAGCTAATAAGCATTCTGAGGCAGAACTAGGTCAAGACAAACAACCACAAGCAGATATTTTTAACTATTTATATTACTAATGTTAAAAAATATTTGTTTGCTTTACAGCAAAAACTAAAGGCCAGTGTGAAATTCTAAACATTCAACAAGCCTACTGTATTAGTTTTATTTTTGTGTGATTCAAACTTTTGAGAGTTGAAGATCAATCAAAAAACATAACCAAAACAGTTGGATTCTAGATTATAAAAAAGACTATTTGATTTCAATATGCAATCTTAAACTTTACAATTGCTTTCACCAGTGGGATTATAAAAACAGATAATTACACAATAATTTTCCTGATAACAAGTAGTAAAAAGGTTACGACAATGTTGGCAAGTTTTTTATATCGACTATGTAGTCAAAAATCTAATTCCAAGCATTTGAGGAATTTAGTAGATCATATAGCTACTTATAGAAAGCAAGTTACTGAAGCATAAAATTTATGGTGTTTTTATCATGAAGGATATTTTCTCTATTATATAATAAACATTTGAATTTTTTAATATGTTCACCTCTCTTTGGAGAGAACTTTTTAAATATACAGAATGAAGGTATTTCAGAGGTCCTCAGTTAAAAAGAATTTATAACAGAATACTTATGATGGCAGAATTTCAACAATGTCTTTAGTTCAGTAATTCTGTATTTTCTTTCTTCTGAACAAGTCACTTAAGTTTTTCTATTGAAGTCCTTTGATAGTTACACTTCATATTTTCATGTTTGAATATCTATTTAAATATCTTTTGAACAGTCCCACATAAGGCTTGAATAAATTTCCATCTAATAAAAGAAAGCATTGAAAAAGAAAAGCATAATATGAAATAATTTATTCACAGTATTCAGTAGAAGGTGATAAAGCTAGTAAGTGAAATTTCAGGGTTACAGTTCTCAGTCTTTTGTACAGAATAAACCCTGCTTAACAGAATACTACTGAAAGAACAACTTTCAAAATATATTAAAATATTATTGGTCAGTTCATATATTATCAATTTATGGCTCACCAAATATTTCTGGTATAACTAATTACCAAACTAGTACAAAGACTACCAAGCTAATACTGTCCAAAAGTCACTTAAAAATCATGCTATTAATAAGAAAGATTTCTTTCTACCCAGCACAAATTCTTATTATCCCGTATATCTTTGTAAAATTTCAAAATCCGATGTCTTAGCTTTAAAGTTAATAACATAGCTTTTTTGAATAAGAAACTTGTGTTAATCAGAATTACAAGACAGAATTATCATTATACTTCTCATTCAATTAAAAAATATTTAAATTGCTCAAAGACTAAATAAACTGTTCTTAAGTTTTAAATATGCAAAATTAAATATGCAAAATATGTTAAATTACTTTAACACTTTTTTTTTTAATAAATTAAATGCTTTAGTCTCCTCATACTGTATCAGTCGTGTCTGACCATTTTTGGTAGAGGGATTTAAAAAGAAGAAAATAAGAAGATATCTGACCAAAAACTGAAGAAAATTTAAGGATTATAAAATTCTATGTTTTAGAACCAAAATCCTTAATTTTAAACTTGGATTAAAATTTTCTTACAGTGAAATTATTTTGAATGCCAATGTACCTGTAGAACAAAGTGAACACATGAAAAAGGTAACTTAGTCAACATTATTTTTTTCCCTAAAACAAAATAGTTTTACTCACATTTTTTCCATCCCGCAATTCCATGCACTTTTCTTTTCTATTGAAGTTACCTACTACTTCAGGGTGGACACAAGTATGATCCCTGCTGGAAAGAATAGTCATTGGGACCCCTGAGTATGCAGTCCTCCGGAGCTCTCTAGTAATCTGAGCAATCTGCTTGTGTGTGCGTGTACCAAAATATATTTTGGGTATCTTGGATTTCCCAGTATGTTCTTTTTTCAGGGTATTGGAAGACTCTTGATTGTTTCCTTGCTTAGTGGAGCAACAGCACCTAGAGCAAGGACCAGGGGGCTGAAAAGAAAGAAAGAGAAGAGAATATCTGGGTTACCATTAAAGAAATTTCAGGATATCATACTGTCTAAAACTCATTAAAGGAAAAATGACAAATTCAATTTCAAGTTAGTACACTATCACACTTTTGAAAAATTACAAATAATGGTTCCCTGTTCGAATTGCTTTCTAACATACCACTCCAACTCTCAAACTAAGCATACTTTAATTCTCCTCTTTTATAATCATAAAAATGATAAGATAAAATGGAGGACTATTTTCATTTTTGCCTAGACTTCAAGTGAATTTGTGGTATTACAGTTTAGAATTGATAGTTATTTTTGTTCACAGACTAGCACATTCAATAATCATAAATATAGCAATATTTTTATATTTATTTAAATTATTGTCTAAAAAAGCATAAATAAAGCATCACGGCCCCTCCCTCCACACACACACACACACACACACACACACACACACACACACAAAGAAATAACCACATTCAATAATCATAAATATAGCAATATTTTTATATTTATTTAAATTATTGTCTAAAAAAGCATAAATAAAGCATCACGGCCCCTCCCTACACACACACACACACACACACACACACACACACACACACACAAAGAAATAACCACCTCCAGGAAAGGTCTGAAAATGAATGCAAATGATAATAATGAAGGTAGGTTGTTCGTGTGGAACAAGTATATCTGAAATTTAATAACCTGTCATGGAATGCAAATCTATCAGTGAAACTGTCATTCAAGACAACTTTCCCTGGACACTTTCATTTGCAATTGTTTCATAATTGAATAGTTACATATTATGTGTATCTTCTTAAACATACCATATGGAAAATCAGGAATACAACAGTTTCTAAACTCAAAAATTAAAAAATGTAATGCAATACATTAGAATCAACGGGTTCTTAGTAACTACTCCTTTTTTCAACTTAAATTACTGCCCAAATGACCCAAAATGCAGCCTCATTAAGAGAAATACTGTGCAATGGTCAGTTTATAGAAATGGTCACTGTTGGGGGGATAAAAGTTGAACAGCACTGTATAATAAAAGAATCTAAACTGTAGAGTTTTACTTTAGTTGAACAAATACACCATTTAACTGTTTTTTCTTTTTAATTATAATCAGTAAGATTAGCCTTCATAAACAAATGCTAAGTCATAGCATGTTACACCACAATACTGAGGATCAAGCTGTCTTTTAGCCTCGACTCAGTGGAAAGGAAAGTTCAAATTACTCCCAGTCTCGCTCAACCTTGTCCGCCATTAAATATTACAATACATGATAGAATGGATGTAAATGTGACCCTTCTGGAGCTGTCACTCACTGGGATAAAAGGTTCACTGATGTGCCAAATAAACAGTCAAAGCAGATAAAGTTACCTCCATGCTGGAATTGTTACATTCCCCTCTCAAGTTGCCAGTAACAGCAGATTTCATTACAGAGTACTGCCACATTAAAAAGCCAGTTCCAAATATCCTGCCTTCTATATTGAATAATTACTTATTCACTGAAAGGATAAAAAGAAGAGTTATGAATGGGGCTCTTGTCAGCAGTGAGGCAGGAAACAGCTGACATGTGGTTTATGTTACATATGTTGCAATATCTAACAATTTATGGTCACATAGAAAGGAATGCAAATTATATGATGATATTCTGACTTTTTTTCTGGCCTTTGCAATGATCACATTAATTAATCAAACTTAAGAGAATTAAAGTAATTCTAGGTAGTAGAATTAGTTTACTTTTTCTTACTTTCAATGTTTTCACTTAATTATACTGTTTTTCTTCTCTATGACTCAGTTAAATTCATTCTGAATATAAGAATTTTAGGGCAAATGCACTGATACATACTACATAGATATGTTATACCAAGCATAAAAGTCATTCAATAAAGTGTCCTTTTCTCAAGGCTTAGAGAACTACTTCTTGATATAATACTTTTTAATATTTAGTCCACTTATGCTTTATCGCCTGCTCCTTTTATTTTAATTCTACTCTTTCCAAACCAAACATTCAAATAAACATATAAAAGGAGTCAATTCCCCACCACAAGTAATTTAGTATATAACTGGAAGACCTCATGTACATGTATGTATGTATGTGAGTATACATAGTTTCCAATAATTTTTAAAAAATAAAATGTTACATTAGTATATAGTGTTACATCTGGTTGTCTTGAGTTCAAGCCTCTTAAATTTTAAAAGGGCAAATGTGATACTAGTCATTTTAAAAGAAGAACCGCTTATCTTAAAATGCTATGCTAGTTATGCTAGTAGTTGTACTAAGTAACAAAAGCAAAATACTGTAGTTTCATAAAAAAAAGCCTGAATATGAAATAGAACAGTGACTTCAAAAAGATAGTAGCAAAAAGTATTTGTATCAAAACCAGCAATTTTCTCTGCTGTAAGTGGAGAAAGAATCCTGTAAACAGCAATGATGGGAAATCATAATTTCCTTCAATCCAATTACTACACTAATACTTTATCTCTTCTCTTTGAAAAAACCCTTTGATGCAGGGGATTTGAAATGACAGAGAAACAAAATTAAATAATTTTCACCTTTTGTTATGTATTTCTATTAACAGATGATCTCTTTAAATTCACAGATTGTATTAAGAATAAATTTAAACGTATTAACTCTCACCCAACATATCTGAACATTAAGTAAGATAAAATACATGCATGGGTTTCCCAAATCTGTAATCTCTAAGACTTATAAGTGGCTATCCTGAGTGGCAGTAGAACTAAAAGATGACTTTTCCCATAATAGAAACTGTCGAGAGTCCTTTTATGTTAACAAAAGGGAAGAAAACTAAATCCAAATAAAATTTATGATAATTTAAAGAGAAACACAGGGACACATGTGGGTTGACAGCTGTATTATTTCCTTATGTAGAAGTCAACTGTTTAAATGCACATTTCAAATCTACAATACTAAACCTTCTCTGAGGTTAAAAACGAAGGATTTTTAGAAAATTTTCTTGTGTCTAACAATTTGTATCTATTCCCTCTCTTGTCTTACTATGTAGACACAAGTCTAAGTTTTTTGAAAGGATGAAGAAAGATGATAAGATTGGGTCTTGAAAGAAAGGCCAAGTGCTGAGTCCTTGCCACACTATTCCTTTCACAAAGCTATAATTAGAAGTTCAAGTAGATTAAGAAACTGCAACATTAACCTCTAAAGTTTCTTAAATTTCTCTAACTTTTCCTCACAAAATTACTATGCCTAAATACTGGAAACATATAAAAGAGCATGTTGATTAAGAGATGTTTAAAAGTGAAAAAAAAAGTTAGAAACTTTCATTACTAAAGAAGTTATTTTGCTAATTCATAAATCAGGTGAGCTTTCAAAAAGGAGGCTTTGAACTAAATTCTGAAAGCAGGCACACATTATATATTTAATACAAAATTAGTATTTTAAGACGTAGAGAGGAAAAGACATTAAGAGGAAGTTTATTTGTATGAAATAAAGGAAAAGCTAGGTCAATGAAACAATGATGTACCTTCCCATGACATCCATGTAGGCATGTATTCATCTTCCAAACACACTTCCAACCACATTGTCCTTGAGAACAGAAGTTATGTCTTACTTTTTTTTAAATGTAACTCATTCATTGAGCATGGTTTTCTGACATAACTATAATTTAATTTTTAAAAATTTATTTTCTTACATCTTTGTTAATTTTTGTAAAACTTAATTTTTTTAAAAATTTAGAGCTGTATCTTATGTTTCTATACCAAGCACTGTATCCATGCACCATATTTTACTTATGCTTAAATGATGTCCTAACTTGAAGTTCTTCACATATCAGAAAGTCCCTTCATGATAAAATAGTTACTTCTAAAAGAAAAAGTACAGAACTTGTTATTTTTAAAAAGAAATCTGTTGTGCTAATATTTGGGCCAGCCACTTTTACTGAGTGATAATGATATATTCATTACTTTAATAGTAACCATAGCTCCTAAAGCTGTCCCTGGGCTAAGGACTTCCCATGTACTATCTTATTCATTCATTCATTCACTCAAAAAAACATCAGAAGTTCTTGATACATTAAGGCAAAGAGAAAACAATAAGGGTTACCTCAGCCCACTGATTGAGTGCTTCTTTCTCTAGTTGTTCTAGAAAGTGTAGTTTTGAAGCTTATCAATACCAATTTCACTCCTGAATGAAGAAATTGTTTAGTTCTCTAAGTACATTATTCTATTAATACAATTACCATATATCCCTAAGGATAGACCATAAAATTTTTAAGAACTATTTTAACTTATTATTAGTTAACATTTAAATAAACTATCTTCCAACAAGAGTCACATGTTCTACAAGTAAAAAAGCCAAAAACTTTCAATTAAAGAAATCTCTAGAACAAACATCAACAATTTTTCTGTAAAGGGACAGAGAATATATGTTTTAGGTTTTGTGAGCCATCTTTGCCCCTCTTTAGGAAAATATTTTTATGAACCCAATGTAAGCAAGAATTCCTTAAACAATATGCCAAAAACAAAAATTACTAAAAAAAAAGTCATTAACATGTGAAATTTCCGTACTATACAGCAATCAAAAAAGATAAACTCATGCCATTCACAGCAACATGGATGGAGCTAGAAGGGATCATACTCAGTGAAAACGTCAGAAGGAAAAAGAAAAATAACGAATGGTTTCACTTATAGGAGTTATACAAGAGAACCAAATAAGGATCAAAGGAAAAAAACATAACACCACCAAAAAGCTAGCAAGCAACCGTAAATAAGAGACATTCTGAAAGGGAGAGGGAAAGGGATCAAAACAGGAGAGAGAGCACAAGGAACTATGTGATCGTTCACAGGTGAACTGGTGGTGGGAATTTTGCAGTAAATACACATTGATGTAACAGATACAAATTTAAAAAATTTTTAAGTTTGAAATTTCCATTTAAAAAGACAGTAAGAAATAGGCAATGCCTATCTTAACAGAGGATAAGTACGCATAACATATAAAGAATTCCAACAAAT